GGACTGGTACACGGTCATGAGCCACCTCATCATCATTATCTGAGTCTGACTCTAGTCCTGAATCATCAGCACTTTCAAGAGGGTCGGAGCTGTCTGCACTGACGTTGTTCTCTCCTTCTTCATCGGAGGTGTCACTGACGGGTGCTGGCAGGGCATCTTCCATTTGATCTAGCTCATGAAAGGCACCTTCATCAGCTCCATAATGGTAGTTGTGAAAACTACCACTGCCTTATTGGAAGTTGTACTAGGGTTGGTTGGCATGGTCCGGTTGAACTTCTTCTTCATATGACGGGTAAGATTGATGATGACCTTCACCTTGCTCTTGGTACTGAAAATAGGAATGAGGATCATGGTAACTTTGGTAGGGATGATCTTCATATAATTCACCTCCACCATGGATACTAGATGTTTGACCGTCTCCAGAATGACCTCCAATGCCTACGACCGGCTAGGTGTAAACGAACATCTCGGCTCTGGAAAGATTGTTGGACCTCAAGAATTTGAGCATGGCATCTACCTCATCCTGAGTGGTTATGAGATATTCCTCGTGCCACAACGACCCGCCTTCTCTGTTTGGATATCAATACACCATACGATCAACTCTTCTCGTGTCATCCATGCAAGTAATGTTAGTACACATTTGATAGAGGTCTTCAAGCATCGGTCTGGTAGCGACCTTTATTTTCTGAATATTGCCACCGACGTAGGTGACCCCCTTTATGCTCTCTTCCGTGTAACCATTCCACCTTAAACCAAGCGTGAATTTTTGGAATGCCGTCTGCAAAAAAAAACAGTAGTTCAACTAATATCATAAAAATCACAAATCACAGTTCACAATAAAAAGTAATACAAAATAAACTTACGAGTTAACGTTAACCGCAAAAACACTAGAAAAATAGGGAACTACAATAGAAAATTGAAAAGGGGGAAGGAGAGGTGTGAAGATAAGAAGCTTTCCCGGGCTGCCTTTTATAGGCAAAATCATCAATGAAAATCGCACCTCAAAGGTGCGGTTTTCATCTGCCATGCAACCCCACGTCTGTCAGTCTGCATGGCTGCATGTCTGGTGTCGGAAAATAATTGACACACAAACCGCATTTGGGGGTGCGGTTTGTGTTGCCAAAACCGCATTTGGGGGTGCGGTTTGTGTTGCCAAAACCGCATTTGGGGGTGCGGTTTGTGTTGCCAAAACCGCACTTTGAGGGTGCAGTTTGTTTTGGAGAAGCAAAACCGCATCCCCAAAGTGCGGTTTTGCTAGGTCAGGCCTAGACCGCATCTAGGTCATGCGGTTTCGTTAGGTCAGACGGCAAACCGCATGGCCAAGATGCGGTTTTGGCCCAAGGTGCGGTTTAAAGACAAAACGCACAAAGGGGGTGCGGTTTTAAAAAAAGGGTGATGTTATTGTAATTTCTACGAAATGGGTGCTCTTTTTGTAATTTTTTTAAAAAATTCTATTTTTGGAAAAATCCCGTACCACCACCGTTCGCAAATCGCAATGCTTCTTCTCTCTCTCAGGATATGACTGATGCTGCTGATGGATGCTATATGATGGAGACTGGGCGACATTTAGAGAGAGAGAGAGAGCAGATAAAAGTGTATCTTCTCTTTCCCCTTCCTCCTTCTCACACGATCCCCATCTTCCTCATCTCTCTCTCTCTCTCTTTCTTCTCTCCCTACTTTCTCTGAACTTTTGGGATGTGAAGAGCCGCCTAAGAACCGGCTAGAATCCGTCGGAGGAACATGGACCGCCGGATAATCGCAAGGAACATGGTTATCAGGCTACGATTCTCTGCGCCTTTACCTGCCGAGCGACCGGTGGGCAACTGCCAGCTAAAGAAGAGGTGATCATAGGACCGATCGTGAGCTCTCGATCCCTTTAAGATCATTTCGTTCGCCTTCTATTTTTGCATCGCTGGTGGCCTTAGTCTTTTTGTTCCCTGATGTTGTCCTGGAGATTTAGCATTTTTATTAACCACAAGCATGTAGGGATTGACGGGAGCTGTTGGTATGCTTGCTAGGTTTTTCACGATGAGTCAACATCGGAACGGCGGTGCTCCGCTTCCCTTTTGTGAGATTTTTCTCTCCGTCTCATTTCACAACATTTTGTGGGGACCCAATTGATTCATTGTGAGTTTTGATTTGGATGGCTTTTCCTCTCTCTTTGTCTCTCATTCTATCTCTTCGATCGGGTTCGGCGACTGTGAGAACCGCGCTTCTAGGGATTCTTGATACTGATCTTCGGCACTCGTGACTATACGTATCAAAGAGGGATTTAGGGATTGAGATAAGGAATTAGGGATTTAGATGAGAAAGAATAGAATTGGGAATCGGCCAAGGCCTTGGATTGGGAGAGAATAGAAATTAGGAGTTGAGAGAGATTAGGGTTTAGCAGACTTTGCTTAATATTCTTCTTGATTGATTATGACGTAAACCCAAAGTACATATATATAGGAAATACTGGAAAACCCTAACGAATAACCTAATTTGACTAAATCTCTACTAACCATAATTATCATTATCCTACCTAATATAATAATAGAAACCATATATAATTGTGTTTCTGACAATCCATCCCCCTTGAGAACAACCTTGACCTCAAGGTTGTAGTTGACTTCTACCTCCTTGACCTTCCGCTTTCTTCGTTTCCAATTGCGCTCAATCCCTTGAATGAACTCCTCGCATAACTCCTACTTTCCTTGTCTCTTCTCCACCCACATGACACATGTCACGTTCTCCATAGCCGAACAATTCTCCCTCTTCTTTGTCGAAATCTACAAAATAAGAATCAGAGAATTGTTCTTCTTCTTGCTTCTCTTCACCCACGAACTTGAAATCTTCAAAGAATAGCTCCATAAATTTCTCCATGGACTTGATGGTGAAAACAAGCTCCCAAACTTCCTTTCATTCTCCTTTGGGTCGGCCCACATAGACTTGAAAGAATGATGCACGACCTAACCCCATGTCAAGCTTCCTTGGACTATGTTTCTCTTTCTCAACTTCGCGTGGGCCTGACTCACTTACAAGTCCATCCACCACCCTAATAACTTCTTTCAATCTTGCTTTCTTCAACATAAAGTCCAAGTTGGACTCAATCTCTTTCAGCTGAAGCGGCCCACAATGCTCAAGCCTCGACCCATCTCTATACTCATGTGCAGCCTTCTCCGGCTCAAATTGCGGCCCATTCGGTGGGTCACATTGGGCCAATGATTCTAATTCTTCCCCAGCCCCGTCCAATTCGAGCCCGTAGTTTTGAAACCCTTGCTCGGATCCTTCACAACTTGTGACCCAACCATCATGGCCCAACAACAATCCATCATTTCGGCCCGACGAGAGTCCGACCCATTCCAACCTGGTGCGGCCTAGGGTTTCAGAGAAAGGGCACCCGCCGCCCTCCAACTCCTTCTCTCTCACCGGCCGCTTCTTCCCCACGTCGGCCTCAACAGCGGACGGCGCCAACCACACGACCGGAACCTCCGCCGTCTCCACTTTCTCCTGCTTCTCCTCTCTCGGCGGCGACGCGCACTCCTTCCGACGTCCTGGCGGCCAGCCCAATTCCACCGCTGCCTTCCCCTCTCTCTCGTCTTCTGGCGAAAGCTTCTTCTCTGACTCGTTCTCCTCTGTTGTCACCCGACGACCAGGAGGTTCGCCCATCTCTGATGTCGTCTTTGCCTCCGCGACGACCGACAACGCAGCGGAAGTCGTCGTCATTTCGACGACCCGAGGCACGGCGCCGATCCCGTGCTCTGCCTCCCGATCCATTGTCTTCAGCTTCAGCCCCGCCGATATCCTGCTCGCCTTCACGACTGGACCAGCTGTAACCCGTTGCTCGAGTTGCTCACTTCGCCGCTCCGACAGTCCACTTGATGGCGTCTCCGTTTTGACCGAGCAGAATTCTGGACTACTCCATGCCCGGATCTTGGTCTTCGAGGGTGGAGCTCTTCTCATGGCTCCCTGTTCGCCGACAATTGAGTCCAATTGACGCAGCTCGGGCTTCTCCGACTCCAAGCCATCTCCAGGATTTTGATTCTTCTTCTTGAATTTCCATCCGTCATTTGATGGATCCAATTGGACTAGTGTTGATGATGGAACAATGTTGGTGGCGATTGGTGACGACGTACGGAAGGAGATTGAAGCTGCAGCCTCTGCGGTGTCTTCTTCTTCCTCAATCAACGATTTCCGCGTATCCTGCGAGATGATGATTTTCAGAACCTTGATGGTGAAACTGCCTTCTCCGAAGCTAGCGCGACATTGTGAGACATTGTATATTTCTCCGAATTCGATTTGCTTTTCGAAACGGATCCATCTGCATTCGTAACCCAACGAACGCTCTGCTGTAATTGTTAGCACATTTGATTCAATTCTTTGTACATCTAGGTGCTTAGCCTCGAACCCAGGCAAGGAAAAGAATAGCTTGATGCGATGCGGATATTCCTGTTTGAAGATGTTTGGCTCGAAGTCTTCATAGATGCGCTCATCCCCGGTTGAGAGTTGTGATAAACTCATATTCGCAACCGGAGCTCTGGTACGAGTGCCTGTAACCTGGCTCTGATACCACTGTGAGAACCGCGCTTCTAGGGATTCTCGATACTAATCTTCGGCACTCGTGATTATACGTATCAAAGAGGGATTTAGGGATTGAGATAAGGAATTAGGGATTTAGATGAGAAAGAATAGAATTGGGAATCGGCCAAGGCGTTGGATTGGGAGAGAATAGAAATTAGGAGTTGAGAGAGATTAGGGTTTAGGAGACTTTGCTTAATATTCTTCTTGATTGATTATGACGTAAACCCAAAGTACATATATATAGGAAATACTGGAAAACCCTAACGAATAACCTAATTGGACTAAATCTCTACTAACCATAATTATCATTATCCTACCTAATATAATAATAGAAACCATATATAATTGTGTTTCTGACAGCGACTCATTGTTTCTCTCTTTCTGACTCTTTGTTCGTTGGTTAAGGTAGCGAAAGGAAATCGAAAGATGGAACGAAAATGAGCCGCGGAGCAGTAGGAGGTGCCGCCGGCGCCAAGGGCAAGAAGAAGGGAGTCACCTTCACCATCGACTGCGGTAAGCCTGTCGAGGACAAGATCATGGACATCGCCTCACTCGAGAAGTTTCTCCAGGAGCGCATCAAGGTCGGCGGCAAGGCCAGAGCTCTCGGCGATGCAGTCGTCATCACTCGCGAGAAGTCCAAGATCACCGTTACCTCTGATTCCAACTTCTTCAAGCGGTACCTGAAGTACTTGACGAAGAAGTACTTGAAGAAGCACAATGTCAAGGATTGGCTTCGTGAGATTGCTTCCAACAAGGACCATTCCATTTACGAACTGAGATACTTCAACATCGCCGAGAACGAAGGCGAGGAGGAAGATTAAGCGTCTCTCTGTAATTGCTTCTGCCCATTCGAGAATCTTAGTTTTGATTTGCATTTAGGGATTATGTGAGTCTTGAAATTCGTGAGTTTTGCAGAGTTTCTATCAGTAAAACAGTTTGATGGCGCAATCTTGGCAAGAGAAAAAACCTTTTTGTATGCCGATAAGAGGGAAGAATTTTTGTATATGTTTGATGGGGAGATAATTATTTGGTATCTGTGTTTCAGGCTGTCTATCCATGGTGAAGAAGAAGAACCATAACAGATTGAAACTAGATCCTCGACGGGGGAATCAGAGTTTTGGTGAGATTTCGAACTCAACTTTGGTGCCTTTTCGTTTCCATGATATCTAATTGGTGGTTACCTTTTCCTTCCCTTGCAATTAGTGATGGTTGAAAACAAGGAATTGAAAAGAAGGCAACTATGATGTCATTATGTAATGACCTTATTTAAGTTCATATATAAGTGGTTTCTGTTTCTGTGATTGAAAGCATCAGTATAAACAAAAATGGAACTCAATTATGGGATATAGCTGCTCATCATACTAGAGTTTTTTATGTGTTTCTACCAGATGTGGAATTCTGTGTCTTGCAGAAAATACCCTTCGTTCAAGTTGAGCAACCAATATAAGAGGGCTATTAAAGACTTTAAGGTGGTGTTGTATATTCAGGGTTCCCAAAAACGACTATTTGACTCTGTGTTCTCTTTTTTATTGTTATTTGTGGCAGGCTAAGTTATTCGTGGCAGGCTATGCAAGCAAGTGCCAATGAGAGATTAGATGTGGGAGTTGGTAACCACATATGTGTAGAGCAGATGCAACTGTAGCGGAGGTAGGATGAACTTCTTCATTGTTAATGAATGAAGAAGAGTAAAGTTATTTGGTAAAAAAATAGTTGTAGTTTTATCGCGTTTCCTTAGATTATCGTAGAAGAGTTCTAGATCCACAACGCGTGAATTTCGAGCACACGCCAATTGGTATCAGAGTCAAGTTGGCGCTGAAATCGTTATGTCGATTTTCATGCAACATCAAGGGTATTACACGCTGCCGCCGCTATGGGCACAAAACTAGGAGTTCCTCGTCGAGCCCTTGGCTACCCGAGCTATCTGCCACCACTACACCCACCGCTGCCTCGGTGATAGGAGCTTTGTGCAATTGGTTGAGCGCAATGGGAAATATCGCAAGCGCAGGCTGCACCAGCGTCCGCTCATTGTCATCAATAATCAATGGGGAAACTTCTTCTACATCGATCCGGGTTGAGATAACGCATGAACTTCGCAGACGAAGTTCTTAAAATGGGGAGGTTTGGTGTATTATATCACCCGTTGGACCTGGTGGTCGATTCTGGGCTTAGTAATTAGAGACATATTATTAGAAATTGTTAGATTAATATGGTTATTTAGGATATTCGTATTAGTTTATTGTATCTTGTTGAGAAAGTTATTGTTTACTTCCTGGGTTGGGATTAGTTTACCTTGTTTGAGGGAAAGGGTTTGTGAGAGTAGTCTTGTAAATATGTACGTTGTTCTATAGTTTTGATGAATGAATAAGAGTGAAGAAATCGTCATTTTAGTCAATTTAGAAATTTTCTTTCAAACTTATATTAGGAAAGACTTAAGTAATATGTTTGTTAATTGATACATTTCCCTCAATAAAAGTTTTTGTGTTGTCTAATTGTCTTAGTCCTTGCAAAGTCTTATATTATATGTTTTCTAGAATTGATACATTAGAAATAACTGTTTCTCTGTAAGATTACCTAAGGTATTTGTAATTTACGTAATTGTTGTCTAAAGGAATAAAAAAAACGTTATGATAAAATTGAGTGTAGGAGATAGAAAACAAATAATTGCATATACAACTACATGTGGGAAAAAGAGTTATGCTGAAATTAGGTGTAGCGTATAAAAAAATATAGGTGAATAATACCCTAAAAAAAGGAAGCAAATTTAATGCGTCCTTAACATTTTAGTAAGGAATATTAATTTAAGCTTATGTAAATCTTTCGTAATATGAAATAAAAAAAATACTAAGATAGTTTTGTAAAGAGAATAAATCCAAGGGTAAAAACTATTTTTAGCCAATCTTTCATAAATTCTAAAACATTAGTCAAACCTTTGAGAATTACGAAATTATAGTCATTTTCATTCAAATATGTGCATTGAAGCTTAGCTTATGTGAAATTATGTTAAAACTAATATTAACTTTAATGGAAAGTAACTATAATTTTATAGTTTTATTAGAGATTTGACCAATATTTCGTATTCTCAAATGTTTGACTAAAAAATAGTAGTCACCCTAAATCTTATGGTGAAACTTTTCCATTTTGTGTGGCTTGGGACAGTTTGTTGTTAAAGTGAATCTGATTGTAAAAAAACTAATAATTGATTGTTAGAAAAACTTATCATGGCCCTTACTATTTGAGATATAACCCTTACGTAATTAAGGAAAAATTAATTTTTTTTTGGTCAGAAAACGGAGCGCTTAAAGGGCGCCCCAACCTTTATTCATTGACGAGACGGGGAGTTTCCACCCCAATAATGTCGAAATACAACCAGTAAGCTAAAGTACTCGATGGGGCATAAAAAACATGGACCCCTACAGGATAGGAATGACCGATGGAAGCCAAGTAATCTGCAACATAATTCCCCTCCCTATACACATGCTCTATTCGAACCTGCCAAGGTTTCAGAAGCCAACGACGTATTTCTGCAATTGCCACGAAGTGAGGATGGTGCTCGGAAGCATTATCGATGAGAGTTTTTGCTATAAGAGAGTCGGTCTGGAGAATCACCTTCCTAGCCCCGAGTTCCCAAGCAAGTTTCAGTCCTTGTCCAATTCCAGTCAGCTCTGCACGGGTAATCGAACCCCCTCCCAAGTTCGCAGTAAAAGCTCTGATCAAGCGGTCATCGCCCCCTCGAACGATGCCGCCAGCTGCCGTGCTTAAAGGAGAGTGAATGACCGAGCCGTCGGTGTTAACGCATATCCAGTCTGGTGGTGGCGGTTGCCCCCTCCTCCGAATATCTCGTTCTCCTTCTCGTGTGCAGCCATAATCTGCTGCTTGAGCTGCTTTGTGATGAACTGGATTTGAGCAGGGGACTTTAACTCACCTTGGAACACGTGGTTATTCCGGTTTTTCCACAGAAGCCAACAAGTGCAAGCAAACAGGGTGCTATCCACGATGGGACTTCTTCCTGCAAGATAATGAAACAACCATTTCCTCAAAGGTTGGCCGAAGAAGGCTTCATCAGGTTCGGTGTCCAGAAGATCCGCCCAAGTAGCTCTAGCCATTGGGCACTCCCTCAAGATGTGCATGGTAGTCTCCGGCCCGCCACCGCAAAGTTTGCACGAGCTGTCTTGGATAAGGTGGCGCCGTCTTCTCTCCGAGTTCGTAAGCAAGCGATCGTGTGATGCCAGCCATAAAAAAGTTCTCGTGCGCTGCAGGGCTGGAGCACGCCAGATAGTACGCCAAATCGGGTGTGTCTCGGGCATGTTTTGGCTCTGGGCAAGCAGCTGGTACGCGGAGCTGATTGAAAACTTCCCGTCGGCAGTGAGTCTCCAGGTGCTCACGTCGGCTTCTTGCTCCTTGGGAATGGGATGGAGTAAAACCTGCGCCACAATAGAATGGGGTAAGAAAGCACGTAGGTAATCTACATTCCACTCACCATTTAGGATAAAATCCGCCACGGGAAGATGCAAGGCCTCCCGTGGGATCTCTGCGGCGTACGACAGCAAAGGTTCGTTATCATTGAGCCACCGGTCACTCCAGAACCTCGTTGTGCGGCCATTCCTTACGTTCCAAGCAGACCCAACTTCGATCAGATTGCAAACCCGCAGCACGCCTCGCCAAAGGTTTGAGATTCGTCCCTGGGAGCGGAGCACATACTCACCCTTTCGGAGCTTGAATGAGACGGACCCAAAGCTCCTCGGGGTTAGTTAGCATCCGCCAGGCTAACTTCAGCATGTAGGCATCGTTGGAGCGTCTCGAATCACGGAGTGCGAGCCCTCCTTCCTCCTTGGGAGCGCAAATAGTGGCCCAATCCACTAGGTGAACTTTCCTGGTACCCTCCGTGCTCCCCCAAACAAATCCCCGGATTTTTTTGTCGATATAGTCATGTACACTAGCCGGGATGAGGGCCGTTTGCATGGTATAGGCCGAGAGTGACGACCGCACAGACTGAGCCAGAGTTATCCGAGCTGCAAGGGACATCGTGGCTGCCTTCCAACCTGCAAGACGAGAATCTATGAGATTAATCAAGTCAATGTAAGTCGATTTTGATACTCTATCGTGAATGACCGGAACCCCTAGATACCGTCCCAGATTAACCGTTTCTTCAATTTCCATCGATGATGAGATCTGGGACCTCAGCTGAGAGGGCACATTCTTTGAATAAAAGATCCTCGATTTAGGCTTGCTCACTTGCTGGCCCGAAGAGGCGCTGAAAGTATCAAAGCAATGATTAATAGTCTCTGCCTGGTGTAAAGACGCTTCTCCGAACAGGATGAGGTCGTCTGCAAAGAAAATGTGAGACAGTGCTGGGGCATTGCTAGTGATTTTAACTGGTTTCCATTGCCCCTGTCGCACCGAATCCGTAATAATATGCCCCAACCTTTCCATGCAGAGGGTAAAGATATAGGGCGATAGCGGACAGCCCTGGCGTAGTCCACGAGATGGTCTGAAAGGATCAGACAAGCCCCCGTTCCACTGTATCTGCATCGAAGCCAAGGTAATGCACGCCATGACCATATCCACGAAATCCGATGGAGCTCCAATGGCTTGGAGGGTGTCTTTCACAAAGCTCCACCGGATTCGATCATAGGCCTTTGCCAAGTCCACTTTAACTACCATCCAGCCAATACGACCCTTTTTAGCTCGCATCGAGTGAACCACCTCCTGAAGGATGCAAATATTATCTGTAATATGTCTTCCAGGAACGAAGCTCGTCTGAGTCTCATGAACAAGGGAGGGCATCAAAGCTTGAGACGCTCAGCTAAACACTTCGTCAGGG